AATGGTAAATGTATATAGTTTCTTGACATATAAATAGAAACAAAATCTTATTGTTCTCATGTAATTATAAGATAAAAGATAAAATAGAATTAGATAAGAAAGACAAAATGAGAATAAAATATTAAAAAATCAATATAATAAAATTTGAATAACAATTAAAACATATATTATATATGAACTAACCATACAATATAACTTTCTAATAATCATCATTCAAACAAGGTGTTAATATTTCTACATATGTATATATAAAAAAACCCACCAAATTTAATGTGTTCTCCTCTAATAGATCTGTGATAGTGTTTCAGTATCTAAACTCCCTATATCCATAATGCCTTACAAGCAGCGGCAGCAGGCAGGATTCCGGTAGCACCGAGAGGTCTCCGGGCAGTTTTCTATTCATTTTCTGCTAATGTACCTTTGTATCAACCGAGGACCGGATATAATCTCCAAAGTTGCTCAACAAATCATCAAGGACGAGATATAATTGTTTATAAGTTTTAACAAATAATATCAAACGATAACTTGAAAAATAAACAACTAAAATTTCAGAAAATTGAAACTACATAACATGAGTATAATTACTTGATCAATCCTATTGTCTGGTTAAGTAATAAAAAAGAAGGCTAACCATCTGTTTCCACATAATGAACAGTAACTCGTTAAAACCAAGCAGACGCAGAGACTAGATTCCGCTCCTTCCACCCCAACAGCATAGCTCCGTCTTTCTCCACCAGTGTATAATGCTCCGAGTAACGCTTCATGAGGTCCTTAATCACTGAATTCACATAAGAGCTCAAAGGATATTGCTGAAAACCTGCCATCATGAACCTGGATTTCCACTTCCCCAATAGCTCGTGACGTTCTACTCTTTCCTTGCCCTCACATGCTATGACATTCACTATATCCCTAGCCAAACAGTGCTGTTCCACATTGATCCGCTCCTTCATGTCCCTTAGTAGGGTCACATCTATGGACTCAAACATTGCATGGTAGTAATCTAGAGCTTCTACAAACCTAGGGAGAAATGGAGCTGTGTTCGTGTTTGATTCTTGCTCCACCAAAGTGACTATCTTGGGGCTAAGCGACTTTATCATCCTAATGAGACCATCTCTAGGGTTATTCACGTCAACGCTCTCATCAGGGGTGTGGTGAAGTTGCAAAGGAAAGTTTACAGCCAGAGCCTCACCAGGCCTTACATCAAGCATATCCCAAGTGATTTCCGGAGCAAAAACTGGCACTGCATGAAACTCAACAGCAATGTTGAATTCCTCAGAAATTGCTGATAGCCGTCTGGCAACTGCAGCCAATCCATCTCCCCGAGCGTACTGTGAAACTGGATCATCAATTCCTGTAATACGTACGTAGGGGGCACCACCGGGTCGTGCTGCAAGAGCTTGTAAGAGAGTCATCCATTGGGTCCCCTGTGCAATTTGGAAGTCTATAATGTGGATGCGATCTTCATTTCTGCATGCTTCTACTATGGCACCATTTGCAGCCATGTAGCCGAACTTTAGGTAAGGACATATTTCATAGAGGATATACATGTAGGAGAACAAGTCCTTACCAGCCGGCTCCTTACACTTTAAACTCCTGTATATGGTAGTTCCAGATAACTCCTTTCTTGCTACGAGGCCTTCTACAATGTAAGCACCAAGACGCTGGATGGGATCTCCAGTAACGGACACAACACTCCTTGCCTTAGCAACCAGTATTTCAAAATCATCTAGCTTGTTTTCAGCAAGAGCTCTGGCGCATGCTATAAGCAGCTGCTTCAGATTGCTAGACGGAACACCCTGCAAGGGCAAGTCCTCCATTACATTGTCTCGCTTATCACTTTGAATTCCATTAAGGATTGAAACTACTGATTGTTGATGACGCACAACTTGGGCTTCCTTGTTCCACGCTTTATACCTCTGACCTGATGTTTGTGCCCCCATATTTTCACCAAGATAAGGGCTGGATTTCATTGCCTCTTTGTCTGGCCCCATTAAAGCAGACTCCAACTGCAGCAGAGTATGTTTCATGTTCCGACTGTAAGGAGCTTCTGGAAGATGATCTTCCGAGGGGCTTGGTCGATGGAAATATTGGTTATAATCCAGTGAGGAACCACTTGAAGAACTAGCACCTGAAAGATTCTCTGTACAGCTGGGCTGCTCCTGGTAATCACTTACTGTGTTGAAGGTCTCAGAGTTAAAATAGTTCACAAGTGGCGAATTTCCTGAATCAAATTTCGATGTACCAAATGGTCTATTCTCTAGAGGACTAACAGTAGGGCATGAAGAATACGACAAATCACTACCGGTCACACCATAAGCAACCAAATGGTGCGAGTCCATACTATACGGCTGTCATTAGCTGCTCTATGCGCAAACTCTTTCTCACTAACACTTAATATCTGCTTCACCGAAATCCACCTGTGAAAAATAAAGAGATCCAACCCACATCAATTACTCAACCCTCTATCATAAGACAATCAAGCTTCCTACTTTTGAGTTAATGGATATACAAAAACAAGGAACAGAACGAAGCTAATTAGTTCTAATCTTACTGCAAATAATTGCCAGATTAGAATCATTTTATGATTTTTAAAGGAAAACCCTGCACCACAGATAGGTAGTTAATTGCCTGTGAAAACATGATGACCATTTCCTCCAAAATCTTAATAGCTTAGTTATGATTAACTTAATTTTCACCCTGTCGGTGACTTTGACTCCCCTCCCATGCCCTCAATTTTCCTCAAAAATAGTACTAATACTAATGAAAAAGTGCCATTTCCTTTCGGTTTCCATTCTAAACAAGCTTTTCAAATAGAATCTCCTGAATATTCGTAACTCCATTCCCTTTTTCTTACAAAAATCCCTAAAAAAATTTTTTACAGTAGATTCACCAAATTAACCAAGCTAGTTCACAGATACAATACCAAAAATTGCTATATAAGTCTATTCAATTATAAAGCTAGTTCACATATGAAAAATGAATCACAAAAACCAAATCATCTTTCAATTTCTGGTTTCATCAACTGTTCGAAAACAAAGAAGATATCAAAATCTGAAAAAAATAAAATACCTGATATAATCTGCAGAAGGAGGAATCTAACTTGTAGATTGATAAAATTTGGAGAAAAATTTAGCAGTGAAATTAGAAATAAGAAATGGAGAAATATATATATAGGGAATTAAAATAAAGAGGAGGAGGATGAAGGGAAGGTGGTCATTGTTAGAACAGCAGTGACGACTGAGATTGAAAAGCTGACCAGCAATTTGGTAGAATGTTCCGCCCTCCTTTCAACTTAGTTTGACGCTCGTGCCATATTTATTATACGCGTTCCGTGCTTCTCTCCGTATTATTAATTTAAATATAATGTGTTTATGTAAAATTATATCGTTATTTTAACATATTTATTTTATTTATTAAATTAGCAATTTGCTCAATTCCTATTAGTAATTGTTTCACGATTATCAACTATCATAAAAATTTACATCAATTACCACACATTATTCAGTCGCTAATATCAATCAACTTCGATTACTATAAGTATTATTAGCCCTTAGCATCAACAATCACTACTACCACAGCTACAAGTGATCTCCTCCCTCCCTCCCTCACTAGCAACCATCAATGTTAGATGTTTCCTTTTTTTAAAAAAAGATTAAAAAATAATTTAATTTTATTTAATTTACATTTTTCACATATTATTTAAGTTAAATTATTTATTAATTATTATATTATATATAAGAGTAGATAAATCATGTAAATTCATTGAAAAGCAAATAATCTTAATTATTTCGTGTTCAAATTTAAAAACAACATCTTAATCATTTAGATATGCATTTAAATTCAGATATCTAACAAGGCTTACGCCTAACCGTAGGGGCAATATGTAACTCTTGCTTTAGAGCAAAACTTAGCTCAGAAGCTTAAAAAAAAACGTATATCTCATAGGCAATAATTTACACTATTTCACTAGATTAACTTATGAAATAGCCTATAACTCTTGTCTTATAAGCTAAACGTAGTCCATGAGCTTCAAAAATAGTGTATGCCTCGTGACCAACAATTTACACTATTTCATTTGGTCTTAACTTATGAGGTACATTATAACTCTTGCCTTAATGGCAAAATTTAGCTCTAAGAGCTTTAAAAAATAACTTACACCTCATTGACAATAAGTTACATTAATTCATCAAGTCTATCGAAAATATGGCTGAAAAGCTTTACAAAAAGATTAATTTATGCCTCATAGACAATAGGTTACACTATGAGATTGTACTCAAATTAATGAACATGAAGAGATGTGATGAAGTGGTCATCAGTTGAGCTGCTCCAAATATCTTGGTTTCGTATTGGCTACCACTCTACAAATATTAAGCACTCAAATTAGTCATAGAAAATCAAGCTATTGCGACATATTTTACTAAAAAATTATTTATTGATCGATGTGTATAATTAAATGAGGAGACATATATTATATGATTTCATTTGTCTATATAATGAACAATATAAATATGCATAAATAACTTTTCATAATATCAGTCGAAAATATCTAATATCATGTACTTAGATGATCGATCAAAGATCCTAATATATATATATATATATTAGGAAAATGTATCCTTTAATATGACCTAAATTGTCATTTACGATAGAGCATGTACAAGGAAATACTTGAATTTGTATAAAGTCGAATAAGTAAAAGCACATCTCATGTGACAATTCACGTGAGATGTCATGTACAACATATGTTTTTACTTATTTTATATAATGTCAAATAAAACTTCATGACAAATATTCTTAACTTATCAATAACTTTGTGTCGAATCAAATAATGATACAAAATAAGAGGGTGGGAGTAACACTTTTGATAAAATATTAATGGAGAGAGAAATGGTGAAGTGAATGGGGGCTTTCCAAGAATGGACAGACAAATATTGTTTGTTTATCTCCTGAAGTCATATAAAGACAACCAAAGGAGGAATCTCTTAGTCACAAAAGCTATCATCCAAACAGAAAAGTTTGTTTTTTAACCCAAACTTCAATGCTAATAGTTAACCACTCCTCTCTTGAAATCAAACTAAAAATACTAGTGCTTTCTTTTATTGATGATATTGCAAGAAGAAATTTTGTATCATGGAGGAGAATAAGAGTTATTGTGTAACAGGAGGAACAGGCTTCATTGGCTCATGGCTCATTAAATCACTTCTTCAAATGGGCTACAAAGTCCATGCTGCTGTGCGCCATCCTGGTTCATTCTTTTATCCCTTCCTTCTTTCTAAACTAATACAACCCCCCACCCCCAATCAGATGGATTCGTCCGAACTTAGTAAGTTTGGTTTAAATTCTAAATTTGTAGCGAAAAATTTATCATCATCACCTCACGCAGTAAATCTTAATTTGATTACAAGTACAATTGAGCCTAGATTCTGAATTTATAATTTACTTAGTATGTATAATTTTTTATTTATAAGAAAACTTCAAATAAAAATTGCTTTTTTAATTTAAAATTTCATAAAAAAAATATGCCCACTAAAGTTTGTATTTTTTGCTGAGCTATGTGAGAACTTACTTTAGCATATACTAGTACTTCAAGAGATATTGATAGGACATGTGAATTCTCTAGTAAAGTAGCATGCCAATATTGATCTAGATAAACATCATGTGTATTAAATTCTTACATACATGTTAAAATTCAGTCCAATTTAATTTTTTAACAACATGTTTAATAATTTTTAATCACTTTTATAATGTTTGGATATGCTAAAAGAAAATTGTTTTAAGAATTTAATTTTAGATCAAAAAATATAAATCCATCAAAACTCCAGCTTGTGTTTTTGGTTTATAATTAATAAGATAACCTTCAATAATATATTCGATATGAAATAGGCCAATGCACTCTCATAAACAAACTCATTTGGTGCACTGTAACTGTATTTCACATCAGAGCGAGTTTGATCCTAGACAAGGGACTGTTTTTTTCCTTTAAAGCAACGGTCCCCCCTTTATGTTCAAATCCTGAGTTGGTCTCTGCTTTTACTCTAAACTCATATGAGTCTGAGTAAGAATGTAATATTTAGATTGAATTTTTGAATATTACAGAGAAGTCATCACATCTATTGAAGTTGGCTGAGGGCAGTGAGATGCTAAGATTATTCAAAGCTGATTTAAGAGAAGAAGGAAGCTTTGATGAAGCAATGAGAGGTTGCATTGGCCTATTTCATGTTGCTGCACCCATGGAATTCTGTCCACCAGCCACAGAAAACGTTGGTAAATACGCTTATCTAAATCGTCATTCGTTCCAAATTTGCTCCTCGATACATTATTTGAAATTGTATAATTTTAACTTGAAGAGAGGTATGTCGAAGAAAATATGATAGAGCCAGCCATCGAAGGGACCTTGAATGTTCTGAAATCGTGCTTGAAATCCAATTCTGTTAAAAAAGTTGTATTCACATCATCAATCAGTACCATCACAGCCAGAGACAACTTTGGGAGATGGAGACCTTTTGTCGATGAATCTTGCAAAGTACCTATCCAACATGTTAAGCACACAAAACCAACTGGTTGGGTAATTCTCTATCGGACCCTTAAAAAGTAATGCATTATTTGAGCGTATCAAAAGTAGTACTTTCAGTTTTTACATTATTTATCGATTATTATACAGGTTTATGTACTACTAAAGGTTTTGACAGAGGATGCAGCATTTCAGTTTGCAAAAGAAAATGGCATTAATTTGGTTTCAACGATAACACCAACTATAGCTGGTCCATTCCTCACTCCTACAGTTCCATCAAGCATTCAAGTTCTCTTGTCACCAATAACAGGTTTGACATAACTCAGTAACTAACGCACCTACAATACTTGTTAACACGTCTTTTAATTTTTTTATAGATGATCCTGATATGTTAGCTATACTCACCGCTGTAAACACAAGAATGGGATCAATAGCATTAGCTCATATAGAGGATATATGTCGCGCCCACATATTCCTCATGGAGAATATTAAAGCACAAGGACGATATATATGTTGTGCTCAGAGTTGGGCATTGTCTGAAGTTATCGATCACCTTAAAAACGAGTATCCTTACCTTGATGCAGAGAGGTTATTCCATTCGATTTCTACTGCAATAATTAAATCCACATGAAGTTTATATATAGTCTAATTATCTGTGTTACAGGCGCGGAGGACATGATTCAGTGATCCCCTCGGAGATTTCATCAAAGAAATTGAGAGGACTCGGATTTTCTTTCAAGTATGAAATCAACGATATCATAAGAGATACAATTACTAGTTGTATACATCATGGATTCTTAGCCTCAATTCAAAAGTAAGAATTGCAAATTACATGTACCAAAACCTTAACTCTTACTTTGATGTATCAGTATACTCCTTTTAATATCAATGAAGTAGAAAATCTTATTATTTTTTTAAGATCTTATAGTAGTTTCTTAAAATTTTGATCTTTCATCTATAGCCTTTGTTATATTTTCGGATAAAAAATTTCCCAACCGTTGTACCCTCAAAGAGTGTCAAAAATCTGTTTCTCTCCTAGTCATGTCCCCATTTTTTGATAATAAACTCACGTTTAACTAAAATTATAATTTTATTTTTTTAAAATACATTAATTTACGAAGAAGATAGGAGTTTATTACACGTAAACCCTTTATTTACTAGGACTAGGAATAATATTGTATTAGTATACAAAAAAAACGTAATTATGGAAATAATGTAACTTTAAATTTTGTATTCCAATTACGCAAAGGAATCCTTTTCTCAGTTGAAAACGAATTTTTCAACTCATTATATATAGGACCTATTCTTATACAATTTTTTCTCATTCTTCATTCTTCAAAATTCAAAATTCCAGAGAATTTATAATCATGATTACAACAGATAAACGTTGGATTAAACAATATGTTCTTGGTGTTGGATGTAACGGCCCTGTTTATTTAGCAACACATTCTTCTGCCAAAAATTATTCAGAAGCTGTAGCTGTTAAATCTGCTGAAATTGGCACAGATGAATGCTCTGTTCTACGTGAAGAAGCAAAAATTTTGAACAAATTAAAAGGTTCTCCTTATATAATTCGATGTTTCGGAGAAGACCAAAGCACTGAATACTCAAAGTATACGTATAATCTGTTGCTTGAATGCGCCCATAGCGGCACATTACTAACTTTCATACTCTGGAATGGAAAAATTTCCGAACAAGTTGCAGCGATCTATGCTTATCAACTCTTGATGGGTATCCGTCACATTCATAACAAAGGGTATATCCACGGCGATATTAAATTAACCAACATACTTATTTATCCGGACAACAAGTTGATTAAAATTGCTGATTTTGGATGTGCCAAAGAAGAAAAAAGTCGTGCGCATCAAGTTTTCGATATTTGTTCGGTTGGGTGCGTTGTTGCAAAGATGCTGACCGGAAAGGGCAGCTGGTATGCGGAACAGATTGATGAATATAAACGTCAGATTTGGGGATTTGATACGGGGGATGAACAGTTTATAGATATTGGTCTTTCTAAAATGGCTGAAAATTTCGTGATAGGCTGTTTGCTTTGTGATGTTCCTGGTGGATTATTGAGTGTGGATGAATTGATTAATCATCCTTTTATTCAGAACGTAATTAGTACTGAGAATGAACATCACATGATGAATACTCATAATCCTTTTGGTGATTACTGGGTTTTAGAGCGTGATTTGTTTAGTACAACTTATGACGAATGGAAAGCCAAAATAAGGAGATCCATCAATGCTCAAAGAAAACAAGGATATACTTAGCGGCTTATCACTACGTACGGTGTTATCTCCTTCTTCAATAGTATTTTCTTTTTGCTTCGACTATAATATAATAATATTATTATTATTTTTTTGCATATGAATCTGCCTTTAAAATTTGATTAGTCATTCCATTAACAAAAAAACACACACAATAATCTTCCATCAATATTAAATGACAAACGCATAAATAGAACTTGCATCAATACTTAATGACAATCACATTTTTAATTTTTTGGGGAGTTTTCTAATTGACCCTTGAGCAAACTTTTCTAATTTCACCTTGATTTCCAGTAAGGACTTGAACTCTTCCCATTTTGACCATAGATTCACCAAAATCCTTAAAGAAAGTAGATCCATATTGATTAATTCCTTGTTTCTTGAGATAATCTTTGGTTTCACTATCATCAAGTAAAGCTGAATCAGAAGTAAAAAGTCCTCTTCTTTTAGCCACAAGCTTATAATAAGAAGTATCAAATGTCCTAACACTTCCAGGGTCCATTTCCACAAGGGTATTTTGGTCATTTGGTAAACACTTTTTTTTCAAATTTTTTATATAGTTGGGATCCAAGGAGGGATCTGTATCTCCTTTACCAGTAAAGTTGTAAATACGGTTGTTGAATGATGAGCAATGTGAGATTCCAATTGTGTGAGAACCTGTTTAAGTGGCGAATTCAAAAAATTTACTATAAGAATGAATTTATCATAATATAAAGAAGTAAATGTAAGAAAAAGTCAAGTAAAGAATTTCGCACGACATAATTATATGCAACTTAAAACTTTAGAAGCATTAATTAATGATTTAATTACCTGATAATACAACAAGGTCCTTAACACTTAATCCTCTTTGCAAGAATCCTTGTTTCAATGATGTTATGTTTGCAAAAGGAGGAATTAAATTAAATAATGCTTCTGTTATATTTGACACACTTCCATCTCTTCGTCCTGTTTCAACTTCCCATGATGGTCCCTTCACCTGATCGATCACGTTTAAATTAATACAAAATAAAAATAAAAAGAAACCATAATGTGCATCGTTAATGTAAATAATATTTATATCATCGCGAAATTTTATTTGTTATAACGTAATTAAGTCACCACGAATTTTCCTAGTAGCGAGTGTTAGATTCGGTGGAAAATGAATCTGTGACACAATTTTCCCACTTATCCACAATCAAAAAAATCCTTCTTATAGTGAGTGATGTGCTAGTATAAAAATATGAATGGTGTGTAAATAATATTTACATGCATCTTAATAAAAGGTAACATATTTTGTTTTCTAAGATTTCAAATCTATATTTTAAGAACATTTACATATAAGTATCTTTTGGATAATGACTTAATAATATATGTAACATTTATATATATATATATATATATATATATATATATATATATATATATATATTTATATTTATTTATTTTGACGATATATATGACTTAAACTTAAATTTAACATATATATATATATATATATTTATTTACCGCAACGGTGACATCTCTTGCAACTAGAGCAACAATATCTGCACAAGAAACAACGCCAGGGCAAGATTTTTCAAGAGCAGTCTTCACTTTATCAATAATTTGATATCCTCTAAGGCTTAAATTTGGGATTGAATCTTTCTCAGCTTGTTTTGTTGGGGAATCCAACAGAACTGATCCATCACAACCCTGTCAAAATATACGAGAAATACCTAATTAAGAATATTTGAAACGATGAAAATTATATTTTTCACGAAAAAACTTTGAAAAACTAGTAATATTTTTTTCACATTTGATTAATGAGTGAAAAATACTTTTTGAAACGAAATATATGTGAAAGATTGATCGATGGAACTATATATTGAGTAATGAATATCAATAATAACGTCTAAAGTGCTAGTGATACAAGAAAATACACTACCATAATCTTTTCATAGAAAGCATATACTGTAACAAAAAAAATACTAATTAATTTTGCATATACATACCCTAACAAAACAATCATGATAGTGCATTCTCAACAAAGGGGCAGCAAGGCTAGGGACTCTTGATATAACATCATCAATAATTCCCTTCACTATTAATTCAACATGAGGACATGTTTTGTGATAAAATCCTACTTTGAGTACTTCTCCATTTGCATGGTTTGAACCAAATGCAATAAGGAAAAAAGTCAATGAAATCAACAAACAATTTGAATTGTTAATTGCCATTTCAATTATGGTTTGAAGAAAATGCAAAGAGGTTCCTCTCCTTTTATATATACTTAGTATAGTTAAGATTTGTATATTTTTTTTTATTACATAATTAATTAGATATGAAGTAGTCGTGAAGAGATGTAAGAACGTGGGTTCTTTTAACATTTTTTTAAAAAAATTTATGTTACTAGTTGAATTGAAGTCCTAATTGAATCATAAAAATTATTTTTATATTTCCATAAACAACCTACTCATCAAATTATGGTTTTATTATTAATGTCTAAGACGAGGAGGCCGTGAGGATATTCTTATTTGATATAAGGGATAAAGATTAATAATACTTACGTGATAAAATATGATTATTTTTTTTAATTGTCTAAATAAATAATATGAAATTAAAGGTAAAAGTAATACAACTACTAACCATGATATTAATTATTTCAATATAACTTATTCGCAAAGGCAAACAGTCCCTTCAACGATATAAATTTGTGATACAACTACGTACTAAAATATGTTCCTATTAGCCTCCACTTAGAACAGCTAATTTGAAACTGTGATTTTTTCAGTACTTTAAGTATTAATCAAAAGATAAAAAGATTAGTTTTGTAGTTGACTTTAATGGTAACATGCCACTTATCAGTTAATCAAATAATTTATAATTTATTCTGACAGCTAGACGGCAATAGAATTATATGTGGATGTTATAAACAATTATTTTAGAGTTCATGATTAGGTGAAGGTGATAACTAAGGTGTTATTCATTTTTGAACATTTAACATCTATGATGGTTATTTGGTAACAAACAATTTATGCAAGATCGGTGATTCAAAGTAAAAAATTATATAAATAATAATATATTGGTTATAATCCTATAAATGAGATTTAAAAATAGTAAGATATGCCCTAGCCTTATGAATTAAGAAATATATATGTATATATCATAAAGTTAAAACAATAATACTTAACTCATATAAAGAATTTGAGAGGTTGATATATATAATGGTATGAATATAGTGTTGTGTTTGAAATTTGAAGAAGACACACACAAAAAAAAAGAAAAATTAACCTTTTTGTAAACATACAACAATAAGTTTTACATAATGTTGAAGCACATTTCGGAAGACTTCAGACTATTGATAATATGATAACAAAACTTGTGAAAGGGGAATGAAAAAAAATATAGAAATAATAATGTGGGTTCATATTAATCGTCACGATATTAATTAGCAACAATATAGACAGCTCTCTCTCTATAAAATTTACTTTTGATTCTTCAATTCACTTTTGAACTTTGAGATGGAGCGGAATTGAAACTTGCACAACATAATATTTTTTCCGTCTCATTTTATGCAGTATAATTTGGATTTCAAGAGATAAACGAGTTTTTCTTTATCATAGTTTTGATCATATGACTTTCAAATATTTTAAACCATAAATTATCATACTATTAAAATCTATAAAAAAATATTTTTAGAAAAAACTTAGTAATTTCATATTCGAATTCATAATTAAAATTAAAATATTTGACTGCCGGAATGTAACAAAGGAAATAGTCCTTTTTTCCCTTTTGGTTAATAAATATGTTTATTCTTGATTATTTTTGTTCCCTCTTGTGTGTTTTTTTAACTAACAAGGTTGACAAAGAAATCTCACGAGTTGGGCCAATTCAAGTTGTGGACTTTGGAATAAGACTAGTGTAAGAAAGTCGAAGCATTTAGGCAATAAACGCTATCGGTTTCTGAGTCTTAAAATTCACCGTTAATAAATATTAGATGATCATATTCATCGAAGTTAAAAGATAAAAGAAAAAATTACTTAATATTTTTATTATTTTATTAACGGTTAAGCCATATCCTTATCTCGTTTTAATTGTACAAATTTAACACTTTAACTAATAAAATAATCATCTAAATATCTTTAATTTTGTATTCACATCAGCATTTAATATACACTACACATAATAAAAACTAGTTGAACTATTTAATTGTCAATTCAAACTAAATTAATGTCTAAATATACACTTTTAAAATTAGAGTTCTTTACTTTATTAGTCAAGACAAAATTTAATATGTTGATTGTTTTATGCTTATTTCTGAGAATTGATTCAAAATAATCCATTAATTAAATTTTATTTTTAGTCATTTCAATCCTTTAAATTTGTCAAAAGTTGGCCGTTTTAATTTTAGTCTCCGTCAAATATTTTTCTAAAAAATATTATGGCAAGTTAGCATAAATATTGCATACGCTCCTTCAACTAATCCACTTTTCTGCCTAACTTTCTTGTCTTTATATATATATAACACATTTAATGTCACATAAATCTTCATCATTCAACTTTTTCTTAATAATTAAGAAAACCTTAGGAAGGTTTTATTAATATTAAACTTTGGTTAACACATTTGGTTTATTACTACTATAGATTGTGATTCTACGTTTTCTTTTATATTCTTCAAAATTTAGTTATACATATAATTATCTGAATTCAAACTTTATAATACAGGATTGCAACTATGATCAAGGATGCAAACTTATCAACACTTCACAATTTCTTCCACAAAAGGTGCTCTTATATAACTCTCTCCTAATATACGTGTGTCATAATTAAGATGATAAGAGTCATTTTAAAAAAAAATCTTAATCGTGATTTTGAATTTAAAAACTATTTTAGAAGTACTTGTAGATACTAAATTTTATGAGACTCTATAAACACAAATTCAATTTTAGTCGGGGTTCATTGTATACTCTAAATCCTAACTTATGTCTATATGAAAAAATTAGAACGTGTTTCAATATTTTAGGAAAAATCTGTTTTCCGTAGCATTTTACAGTTTTTCACAGAAGAAAATAGATGGAAAAAAAACATTTTTTATATCACAAATTTATAGTAGATTTAATAGTACAAATTAAGTTGTTATTGTTTCATGGGCATCATGACAATTTACATTTAAATTTTTGAACCATATGGGCTTTTTGGTTTTTGCAGTTATGAAGCACTTATTATAGATTGTGAAGCTGAAAACTATTTGAAAGATTATTACATTCCTGATTACATACTTGTACCAGAAAAGGAAATAGAGAATGGCTATGAAGTAGCTTCTTGTCCTGTATTAGTATTTATCAACTCCAAAAGTGGTGGTCTATTAGGAGGACAACTTCTTTTCACATTTGGTACTCTTCTTAACAAAAATCAGGTAAATTTCTCATGTTATATGACTCTATTTAATTGAATGCGACGTTAAAGTGTTTTGCCTTTCGGTTCCTGTTACTATCTGTTGTTACTTGTACTCTGATTATTTTCTTTTAATTATTGTTCTGTTACTATCTGTTGTATCTTGTACTTCTGTTATTTCTTTTCCTTGAGCCGAGGGTCTATCATAAACAATCTATGATTGGGGTAAGGTGTGCGAGTGCTCTGCCCTCTCTAGACTCCATTTTGTGGGACTATAGTGAGTGTGTTGTTATTCTTGGTATGCATATGCATTTCTCATTTCTTCACACACATAAATTCAAAGTTTTTTGAGCTCTTTCTGTAGTACAAGATATCGCGATCTTCCAAAGTGTTCAATGTGGAAATGACTGTTTTTCAGGTATTTGATTTGGGAGCAAAGGCTCCTGACAAAGTTCTACATCAATTCTACTCCAATATAGAAAAGCATAAGCAAAATGGAGATAGCTCGTCTTATGAGATCGAAAGGAGATTGAGAATCATAGTGAGTTTAGTAATTAGTTGAAGTATTACTTATGTTTTATTCGTTGCGATATATCTGAGGTATATTTACTCACCTCTAGGTGGCAGGTGGGGATGGAACAGCAGGTTGGATTCTTGGTGTTGTATCAGATCTAAAATTAGCTCATCCACCTCCGATTGCAACCGTGCCATTAGGAACAGGAAACAATCTGCCTTTTGCGTTTGGCTGGGTAAGATATGTACTAAGATCACATTTATCATCTTGTATAACTAACAATATATGCTACATATGACATCAAACATGTTGCGATAGTTCACTCTTGAGTTAATGACTGTCTTTCGTGTGATTCAAAAAGCTTATGGTCTAAATGTAGAATAATAGCACTTGTGCTTAGAGACAAATCTAACATATAACTAATAAGTGCTTTGTTATTATTTATGTTAGTCAAACTCCTTTGTAGAACACTCTTATAGGTAGCGTAATGATTAATTTTTCATCTCCTTGAGAATTTGTCTAATGATTGCAGGGAAAAAAGAATCCTGGTATTAACTGCCAGTCCGTGAAGTCGTTCCTGAATCAAGTGAAAAATGGAAAAGAAATGAAAGTTGACAGGTAACTTGGTTTTACTTGCATAGTGAATTTGAAGGTTCCCTGACTCTTTTGCTACCTGTGTCTGGCTGGAATTTCATGAATCTCTACAATGCACGCACAAGTTTTTTTTCTTCTTAATATAGATGTTGATAAATCCGAAATGACATGATGGTTATTGTGTTTCATCAGCTGGCATATTGTAATGAAAATGAGGGCTCCTAAAGAAGGTTCTTGTGATCCTATTGCACCTCTTGAGCTACCACATTCATTGCATGCTTTTCGCGGTGCGCCTCAAGCTGATACTTTGAACAAGGTATCAAATTCTTCAATCCATTTTCTTATGTAGTGTATTATGCAGCTAGAAATGTATACCAGCAAAGAGAATCAAATTCTTCAGTCAATTTTCTTATACGGTGAATTCTGCTTATTTTCAGGAAGGCTATCATGTATTTCGGGGAGGATTTTGGAACTACTTCAGCATAGGTAAGAATTGTAATCTATCTTTTGAATTACATCTTCAACTGATCTTTACAATATTGTATTACTCCATTTTGGCATTTTCTAGTCCAGAAGAAACATTTTCAGTTGGTATACATATAGCCTGTTTTAGCAAACAGTTATGAGACTAGATTGGTTTTATGACACCATTGTATATGTTGGTGAAAGCTAAAACCAACAGTATATCTATACTAAAAGCTGTATTTCAGAGATCTACATTTCGTAGAAACACTTCATATTGAATCTGTTCAGCAGTGAGATCTTTCCTAGTGTGGCCGATTTGATCAAGAGCTTAATTCTTGCGTTATCTGGTGTAATATTAATATTTTCATTCCTGAGTTGAAGTTTTTCACTTTTTTCCGTCAACTTGTAGGAATGGATGCTCAAGTTTCACATGCATTTCACAGCAAGAGGAAGCTCCATCCAGAAAAGTTCAAACACCAGTTGGTTAATCAGGTCCTTATTGTCATTTGGAATATGGTGTTATAATGTTATATTTTCCTACATGTTGTTTAATCTTTATGTACTTCAACTCTTGATCCTTTTGTCTTTTCATTTGTTCAATTACTTTTATATGAAATATCTGATGGTCTTTTCTCTTTGTTCACCATTTGTTTAGAGGAATTATGCAAAGCTTGTCTGTAAACAAGGATGGTTTTGCACTTCTTTCATGCACCCATCGTCAAGGTTAGTTTTATAGTCAAGGTTAACCTATATGTATATCGTTGCTCGTATCATTTATTTCCTTCATTATTTGAACACATACCATTACCTCTCTCCCTGCCCATACGACACCATGGTTTGGGAAATAACTTTTAGCAATTGTGAACTTCGAGAACCCTCCTTTAGATGAAAACCTTGTATTGATACTGATTCTAGTACAGTATCAGTAATTTTCTCTTGTTCTTCATAGTGAATAGTGGTTGTTGTGTAGCGCCAACATTTTGCCTATGGCAAGACCTATGAGGGGGATGAAGTGGCTTGGGTCAGAGTCAACGATAGAACATGGCACTTGCTTAATTGGTTCTCTTAGTTTAGAAATAAAGTTGTGCCTTTGCTATTAGCTATAACTTTTTGCATAATGGTAGCACTTGATCCTAACAAGTAGTATCAGAGTCAAAATCACAAATTCAATTTCCAAGAGCAACATGTTGCATGAGGCAGGTGTTGAGAGAGGGGGATTGTTAATGCCAACATTCTACCTATGGCAAGACCCCATGAGAGGGGTTGGAGTGGCACGGGTCATAATCATAAATCATAAATCAAACAGCGCTTGGTTGGTGAGATTAGTTAAGAATAAAGTTGTGCCCTTACTATCAACTATGTCTGTTCTGTGTTACATTTAGTATGTGAAGATAATGATGACTGTAACATTGCCTCTCTTAATAACTACAGTATCATTTCAAACTAAACATATTGATCGAATCTGTTTCTGCGCGCAGAAACATTGCTCAGTTAGCAAATGTCAAAATAATGAAAAGATCAGGTGAATGGATAGACCTACACATTCCTAGCAGGTAGTAATATGGTTCTCTATTACCTACTGCATTACTTTCGCGCCTTTTTCTTAACCATATCTGTGGTTCGATATGCAGCATTAGGTCTATTGTCTGCCTTAATTTGCCCAGCTTTTCGGGTGGACTTAATCCTTGGGGAAAACCTAACAAGCAGAAGCTGCATGAGGTTAGTTTCGATTTTCTTTAACTATCCTCTTCCAAAATGTGTCAATAATGTAAAACATTTTCTGTACTTTAAACAGAGGGATCTTACTCCTCCATATGTTGATGATGGTCTACTTGAAGTTGTTGGTTTTCGCGATGCTTGGCATGGACTTATTTTGTTTACTCCAGGAGGGCACGGAACACGTCTTGCACAGGTTGTTAATTCAATATAAACATGTTTCATTGGTTAATATGTTCTTACTGATCGATCGTTAGATCATAGATGTACAATGTTCATCTCTATTCTACTGTTTTTTTAGGCGAATAGAATACGATTTGAGTTTCACAAGGGTGCTAGTGAGCATACATTTATGAGAATGGATGGGGAACCATGGAAACAACCACTTCCTAAAGATGATGACAAAGTTGTTGTAGAAATCTCTCATTTTGGTCAAGTGAACATGCTTGCTACTCCACATTGTCTATCGAAAAGTATCAATGTTCCTATAACAGATAAAAGTTTTTTTGAACATGACTTGGTGGAGGAGAGGAGAAAGTTAGGTGCAGCGCATAGTTTCCGAATTCCAGATGATTCCGATATAAAACAGAGTTAACTAGTACATGTGTTGTAGAGGCGTTTCCGTGAATTGTTATGCTGGAAATTACAGTTATAGGAAAGAAAAAAGAAGGTTAATTAGGCCTTTAGAATTGTTAGCTTACATACAACAATTGTAGCATACTAGACAAGTAAAAATGTAAACCAATACAGTAGGACTTTTTATTATGACATTCGAGTGTCTTTTTGAATAATGTTTTCAACTATAAAAGCTTGTTATCTGTAATTCTTTATGAAGTTCTTGTATGTGTAACAAATATGACTAATTTACATTTTCTTTTTAAAAGGATTAGATTTATGGACCAACCGTATTCTGGTTAAACAAGTTTTTTTTAATAAGGTCAAAATATTACTTCCTCTTTCCAAATTTGTTTGCTATAATAAATTATAATTTACCTGATACAGAGTTTTATTAAATAATTAATGGCAAGGTCTAGGAAAATATTAATTATATTTTTTTTAATTTAATAAAATAATCAACTAATATAAAAAATTATTTTTTATATAATAATCAACTAATATTGAATAAATGAAATAGTATAACACAAGTTAGATATAAAATAATTCATAATAAAGAACACTTCTTTTTTACATGGTATAAATTTAAATATATCAAACTTTAATATAATACGAGACACTAAATAAAAAAGCAAATCAAACAAACTAAAAACAAAAAACAACAGTATAACACTAGGTGAAACTAGATAAAAGTGGAACCCAAAACAAATTGAATGGATAGTTGGAATAAAAATATTTGAGTATTATTCATTGGATCTTTTTATTTCTGTTAATATATTGTTTGGATTAAGACCAAAGTCCAGCCCCACAGACTAGGGAAAACCAGGTGCTCCCATTGAACAGAGAGATCATTGGATCAGCTAAATTGATACTCCCTAGATATTTTCTTAATTTAAATTTATTTGTCTGGTTTAGTATAATATATTATATTTTTTTAATTTAGATTTATAAATTTAAATATTTTGTAATGATACAAAAACATTATATATATTACTAAACCTTTTAATCAGTTAAACAATCCAAGAGTGGAAGAAAATGAGTTCATCAAGGTGAGCACTATCATGGATAGTTGCAAGTAGCATTGGAGCAGTAGAGGCATTAAAAGATGAAGGATTTGCTAGATGGAATTTTACAATGAGACTATTACAACAACATGCCAAGGCTAATTATAATTGTCTAACTAAGCAGAAGCTTTATGGAAAATCATCTACGATTCATGTTTCAAATAAAATGATTATGAATATGAAGGATAAAAAATTGAAGCAATCTGAAGAGTCTTTAAGAAATGTCGATGATGGGGACCTAATTGATAAGACTAGCTAGCTACTCTCAATCTCAAGCTTCATGTTTAATTTCTAATGTATATATTTGATGATGATGATGATCACGATAAATCAATTAATAAAATGTTGTTTTTTTCTTCTTCTAAACTTTCGTCTTAATTAATTATTTATGTATTAGTTATTATGTTTTGTTGAATTGTTGATGGTATTTAAATAAATCTGTTGACAAATATAAGTAATGAAGAAAAGTTATTATTGAACAAGTCTCTTTCTGAACGAAAGTGAATTTGAACTTTAAATATTATTCTCGTAAATTAGTTGGAAATGTTCTTGTTTAATTAGTAGTTGGTGGAATTTTGGACTGATTTTGAATAATAATGTAATTGCATATCACACAAAAAAAAATCGTAACTTGTTGTACCTTTTTTTAATACAAAACAAATATACTTGTAGATATTAGTATTATACAATATACTTGCATTGTTGGTATATAATACAAAAATGGTATAATAGTCCCTAAAAATGTTTTACATTTTGCACATGATAAGTTTAAAATAATAAAATTAAAATATATTTATACATAATTTGAATATAAAATTATAATATTTAAAAGTTCTTATTACTCTTTTAAATTTCGTTTTATCTTTTTTAAATAGAGGAGTGATAAATAATATTGTATAATGTTATTGTACAAAAAATCAAAAGTAAAAATATGGCTGTGGATGCAAAGTGTAGTGCTAGGCTGAATATTGTTGGCAAAAAAAGATAGTCTTTTAGGATATGGATAAATAAGACAATTTTTATCCCTTGCTATTTTGCACAAGTAATTGAATTAAATTGTGAAAATGATTTTAATGACTCTAGACATTGGCTGACAACGAGGTTTGAATTAGAATTTAAATAATTACATTTCATAGTAAGGGAGTTAGAAATTTTACCAGATTTGAATAAAAGCTTAAGTAATAACACGAAGTAGTGATGGAATTAGAAATTTAATAAATGGAATCAAAAATTTTATTCCTCAATAGTAGATAAAGTGTATAAAAAGAATATATAATATGTGTATCATTAGTGTATAATCCTTAATATTTATCATATACAAATATAATATTGTAGAGATACATATCGTATAAGATAATGACATAGTTTAATACTTCTGATACATTTTCTATACATATTTAGTGATGATATATGTTCTATTACTATAAGATTTATGACTTTTAAGTGACTTTAACTTATGTGCAATTTTGGAATTTAATAATATTTATAAATTAAACTTGATTTGACGAGTTGATAAACGTAAGAAAAGTCCATAATATTATCATATTTTTTTGACTTACAAGACTTCCAAAAAAAAACAATAAATTAAAGTCAACTTTTAGCTTCACTAAACGACAATATTCATTCCCCTAAATTTGTTTATGGCCTGAAATTGATAGTTATCATCGGAATACCACCATGGCTGCCGTCGACCACCGCACGCGACAGCAGTCCAACGGCAAACTCTCGTGGCTTTGCCCCTTCACTAAATCCATATTTCCGGCTAAGCGTCGGCTCCGGCTTGATCCTTCTAACAATCTCTACTTTCCATGTGAGTCATCGCTCCTAAACCCTATACTACTGTATTGCACTTTAAAGTCGTCAGGTTCGAAGAAATTGTTATTGTTTGAATTATTCAGAGTACGAAGAGAAGTAATCTGGGCTCAAATTTTGTATTTTTGTTGAAAAAATTCATTTCATATGTACAATAGAACTCATAAACTAAAAATCGTAGCTTTGCCTCGGATTATTTACTAGTGTAGGGTGGAGTAGTAAATACTGACAATCAAGTGATATATAGTCGAATTTATGACATGTGTAAAGCAAAATTGGTTCTGATAATCGTGGTGTCAGGGTCAGCTCGTGAGCTCCTCGATTAACTCCATGAGATACCTGTTATCTCTCACCAGCAATAGGTACCGAGTAACTTATCCACCATGGCTAGAACAGATGGGGAAAAATCACCTACTGTTTTGTCTCTTCTAGGAATTAAACCTGAGACCTTATGATGCTCAACTCTCTTTTATACACTTTGAAAATGATTTTTATCAAGGAAAACATTTTCCGTTGTACCAAGTAGTATTATTTTAATGTTTGAAGCAACAAATTTTGTTTTAGCTATGTAATGTTGGCAATGATAGAATGATGGTTGCTGTTTTACTTTTATGTCCTGAAGATGAACCTGGAAAGCAGGCGAAGAGTGCCATAAAGATTAAGAACACAAGCAAATCTTTTGTAGCATTCAAGGTAAAATATTTTCCCATATTTCTTGTGTTTGCAGCCTAACAAGCTTTTGGCATTCATAACAAATGCAGATTTTTAAAATTTTTATTTTAGATGAAACACAGATTTGAGTATGCGGTGCCATTGATATTTTTCCAGCTTTACCATTTCTGCATCACTTTTTGCATGCAGTAGCTTACTGATTTATAACTTGCTTAAGTTATAAATTTTTGTTTCTTGCAAAATTCGATTCAAAGATATTGTATTGTTATCTAAATCATCAATCCATGTGGATGATTAAATAAGCAGTGGTTTAAGCTTCTAATTCCTTTTTGAATTTTTAAGTAAGTTTCTGGTTCCTTTTGAATATTTAGTTTCAAACTACTGCACCAAAGAGCTGCTACATGCGACCTCCGGGAGGTATTCTTGTACCTGGGGAAAGTTTGATTGCCACTGGTATAGTCTAAATTTCTCCTCACTTTTATTTCAATTAATTTAATATCCTTTTTGTTTTCAGTGGAAAACAGATTTGGTTTTACATCTTCCATTTATTATCTGTTATGCATCTGATTGACAGTCTTCAAGTTTATTGAACAACCTGAGAACAATGAGAAGCCTATAGATCAAAAGACCAAAGTAAAGTTCAAGATCATAAGTTTGAAGGTGAAAGAAGGAACTGATTATGTACCTGAGTTGGTAAGTAAATCAAACTTCTAGGCCTTGAAAAATTTCAAGCTTCTCTATTAAACCACAAATTCTTTAGGTGCCATCACTGTTCCTTGGCTTATATGTATGTGTACTTTGTTCTGTTACACACTGAACTTGTTACTGACAGAATTCTGTTTATTAGTTATCCACTTACAGCAAATTTTCAAACTTGAATGGATTTTGTAGATCATGGATTTAAACATACTTTAAATTGGAAGTCATTAAGTTTCTTGTTTTCCTTTCTATTCTGTGTATCTTCTTTGGTTAGAATCCAATTCAATTTGCTCAAAGATATTTTAGAAACAATCATTAAGAAATATAAGCTTTTGTTATCTTCAGTGTTAAATAATAGAGTATATTTTCATCAGATGTTTTGAATGAAAATAGGGGAGTTCCATAAAGCTAACAACTGAATATTCTATGAATTGCTGGCAGCCTGACACATTGACATCTTGTTAGATGATTGTTTCTTTCTAACTTCAATTAAGTGTGCATTCAGTGTGAAGGAAATTTTTTTCTTGAATAATGTTTTCTAGAAAAATAAGTGGATTTGTTACTTATTTTCTAATGTTCGGTATGTAAGCTAAAAATATCATCCTAAAAACATTTGCATGCATATAATCTAGACAAATGCTATGAGAGTGGGGCGGGTAGGGATATGGGGTAGTGGTGATGGGGGCTATGAGCATGGGGGATGAAGATGAGGTGTGTTGAAGGATGGGGGGAGCACAATCTTGTGGAATGTCACTTGTGGAACTTGTTTTCCTTACTTCCATCAGGGAGGTCATCTTCCTCATTTTAAGGAACTTATTTAACTTTTTTTATAGAAAATGTTTTCAAAACAATTTGATCAGCTGAACATGGGAACATTGGAAACCGTTTTCGCATATCTTCCATTCTGAACACTCCCTAAATATATTAGT